CCTAAATCCTCTCAAACAAGCAACAGCTGGCCTCAGTAAGTCCCAGGTCTAGAACTAGCAGCAAACAGCCTAGATTCACAACTCGGCCTCACCTGGGAATCTTGAAGCCCAGCACAGGTAACCTGCCTTTACAGCTCAGGTAGGGTAGTCCTGGACAAAACACAGGTGGGGACTGACCTTGGCCTGCACCACCTGGGAAATCCCAGGGCCTGCACACCCAGTGGACAGCTACAGACAACGTCAGAGCACCACCACCCTGCCCCTGCACAGCTGATTCTCCATGGAGGGCAGAGGTTGTCAGTCAGTGGTCACAGCCAGTCCTTGCATCTCACTGGCTTGGGTAAGTCCCTCCCATTGACCTGCCAACAGCAGCCAAGGCTCAACTACAAGAGGAGGGTGTACTCAGCTCACATGATGGGTGCACCTCGAGTACCCAGCTTGGGTGATAGGGGAGGCTGTGCCACTGGACCCTACAGGACACCTAGTACATTAGGCCATGCTACCAAGACACAATCAAAGCAGCTCTACCTAATACATAGACACAAACACAGGGAGGCTGTCAAAATGAGGATACAAAGAAACATAGCTCAAGTGAAAGAACAGACCAAAACTCCAGAGAAAGAGATAAATGAAATGGATATAAGCAATCTATCAGATGCAGAGTTCAAAACACTGGTTATAAGGATGCCCAAGGAACATAGTGAGGACCTCAGCAGCATAAAAAAGATTCAGTCAGAAATGAAAGATAATTGAAATAAAGAACAATTTACAGGGAAACAACAGTACAGTAGATGAAGCCAAGAACCAAATCAATGATTTGGAACATAAGGAAGAAAAAAAATAACCAATCAGAACAAGAAAAATAATAATCCAAAAATATGAGGATAGTATAAGCAACCTCTGGGAAAACTTCAAGAGGTCCAATATTCACATCATAAGGGTGGCAGAAGGAGAAAGAAAAGAGCAAGAAATTGGGAATCTATTTGAAAAAACAATGAAAGAAAACTTCCCTAATTTGGTGAAGGAAACAGACATACAAGTCCAGGAAGCACAGAGTCCCAAATAAGATGGATACAAAGAGGCCCACTCCAAGACACATCATAATTAAAATGCCAAAGTTTAAAAATAAAGAGAGAATCTTAAAAGCAGCAAGAGAAAAGGAGTTAGTTACCTACAGGGGAGTTCTCATAAGACTGTCAGCTGATTTCTCCAAAGAAACTTTGCAGGCTAGAAGGGACTGGCAAGAAATATTCAAAGTCATGAAAAGCAGGGACCTACAGCCAAGATTGGTCTACACAACAAAGCTATCATTTAGAATTGAAAGGCAGATAAAGAGCTTCCCAGAGAAGAAGAAACTAAAGGAGTTCATCATCACCAAGTCCTTATTATATGAAATGTTAAAGGGGCTTTAAGAAAAAGGAAGTTCTCCACTTAAGAAAAAGGAGATCAAAACTATGAACAATAAAATGGCAAAAATACATACCAGTCAACAACTGGACCCAAAAAACAAACTAAGCACACAAGAACAGAGACAGAATCATGGACACAAGAGTGTTTTGATGGTGGCCAGATGGGAGGGGGATATTTGGAGGATGGGTGAAGAGTTGAGGGGACTAAGAAATACAAATAGGCCCTGGCTGGTGTGGCTTAGTGGGTTGAGCACTGGCCTGAGAACCAAAAGGCTGTTGGTTCAATTCCTGGTCAGGGAACAAGCCTGGGTTGTGGTCCAGGTCCCCAGCTGGGGGCATGCAAGAGGCAACCAATCGATGTGTCTTTCCTTTTCTTTCTCCCTCTCTTCCTCTCTCTTTGGAAATAAATAAGCAAATAAAATGTTTTTTTTTTTAAAGAAGTACAAATATGTACTTACAGAATGGCATGGGGATGTAAAGTACAGGATAGGAGATGGGGAAGCCAAAGAACTTATACATGTGACCCATGGCCATGAACAGTGGTGTGGGGATTGCCTGAGGGAGTGGGGATAGTGGGTGGACAGGTGCAAAGGGGAAAAATTGGGACAACTGTAATTGTATAAGCAATAAAATATAATTAAAAAATTTTTAAATCCAATTAATAAAAGGAAATTTGGTTAAAATTTAATGGCTCATGAAATACAGACATACCAGTTAAAAAATTTAAATATGTTTATTGATTTTAGAGAGAGAGGCAGAGAGAGAGACACACACATCTATGGGAGAAACACCAGTTGGAGACTTCTGGCCAAGATGGAGATGTAGGTAGATATGCTTGACTTCCTCACACGACCAAAAGAAGGACAACAACCAATTTAAAAACAAAAAAGAACCATAACTGGCAGATAATCAAAGTCTGACAACCAAGGAGTTAAACAAACATTCACCCAGACTGGCAGGAGGGGTGGAGACAGGTGGCCAGTGTGGAGAAGATGTGCGGCAAGGCAGCAGCTGGCCAACCGGGTGGGCAAGGTGGGGGTGGGGGGGCTGGCAGACTGGGTGGTCCCACATTTGTGTGTAGATAAATTGGAAGGAACAACTAGGGACCAAGACAGATCACATAACCCAGGGTTCCAGTGAGGAGAACTAAAGTCTCAATACCTCTGGCTGCAAAAACCTGTGGGGGTTGCGGCAGCAGGAGAAACCCTCAGTCTCACAGGAGAGTCCATTGGAGGAACCCACAGGATCCTAGAACGTACACAAACCCACCCACCCGTGAATCAGCATCAGAAAGGCACGATTAGGCTTGTGGGTAGTGGGAGAAGTTACTGAAAGTGGGGCAAGAGCCAAGCAAGTGGCACTGTTCTCCCTCTGATCCCTCCCCCACAGACACTGCCACAACAGAGGGAAGTGGGCTGCCCAGTGGTGGCAAATATCTAAGACTCTCTTCCTTACTATGTAACATGCAGACTGAGACAAAAAAAATATGGAAGAACAGGTCAAAATCCCAGAAAAAAAGCCCTGGTTGGTGTGGCTCAGTGGATTGAACACTAGCCAGTGAATTAAAAGGTCACCAAGTTGATTCCTGGATGGGGCACATGCCTGGGTTGCCGGCCAGGTCCCCATTCAGGGGCTTGTGGGAGGCAACCCATTGATGTATCTCTTACACATTGATGTTTCTCTCCCTCTCTTTCTCCCTCCCTTCCCTTCTCTCTAAAAGTAAATAAAATATTTTAAAATAAAAACAGAAAAAGAACTAAGTGACGAGGTGATAAGTAACCTATCAGATGCAGAGTTCAAAACACTGGTAATAAAGATGCTCACAGATATGATTGAGTACAGAAGCAAAATAAAGGAAGAAGTGAAGAGAAGAAAACTGGGACTCAAAATCAATAATTTGGAATAGGAGGAAGAAATAAACATTCAACCAGAACAGAATGAAGAAACGAAAATTCAAAAAAATGAGGAGAGGCTTAGGAACCTCCAAGACAACTTTAAATGTTCCAACATCCGAATCATAGGGGTACCAGAAGGAGAAGAGGAAGACCAAGAAATTGAAAACTTATTTGAAAACATAATGAAGGAGAACTTCCCCAATCTGGATAAGGAAATAGACTTCCAGGAAGTCCAGGAAGCTCAGAGAGTCCCAAAGAAGGTGGACCCAAAAATGAACACACCAAGACAAGAAGGGGCTGGAGAGAAGTATTCAAAGTCATGAAAGGCAAGGACCTACATCCAAGATTATTACTCTATCCAGCAAAGCTATCATTTAGAATTGACATGCAGATAAAGAGCTTCCCAGACAAGAAGAAGGTAAAGGAGTTCATCATCACCAAGCCCTTATTATATGAAATATTAAAGGGACTTACCTAAGAAAAAGATAAAAACTATGAACATTAAAATGATAACAAACTCACAACTATCAACAACTGAACCTAAAAAACAAACCCCCCCCCAATGAACTAAGCAAACAACTAAAACAGGAACAGATTCACAGAAATAGAGATCACATGGAGGGTTATCAGTGGGGAGGGGGATGGAGGAGAATGGGGGAAAAGGTAGAGGGAATAAGAAGCATAAATGGTAGGTACAAAATAGACAGGGGTAGGTTAAGAAAAGTATGGGAAATGGAGAAGTCAAAGAACTTATATGTACAACCTAAGGACATGAACTAAGGAGGAGGAATGCTGGGGGAGAGGGGATGCAAGGTGGAGGGGAATAAAGGGGAGAAAAAAAAAGGGACAACTGTAATAGCATAATCAATAAAATGTACTAAAAAAAAGAGCATTGGTTGGTTTCCTTCCATATGCACCCTAACTGGGGATCAAACCCACAACCTAGGTATGTTCCCTGAATGGGAATTGAACCTGCAACCTTTTGGTGCATAGGATGACACTCCAACCAACTGTGCCACACCAGCCAGGGCCTCTTGGAATCTATCTTTTTTTTTAAGATTGTATTTATTTATTTTTAGAGAGGGAAGGGAGGGAGAAAGAGAGAGAGAGAAATATCAATGTGCAGTTGCTGGGGGCCATGGCCTGCAACCCAGGCATGTGCCCTGACCGGGAATTGAACCTGCGATGCTTTGGTTCGTAGCCCGTGCTCAATCCACTGAGCTACGCCAGCCAGGGCTGGAATCTATCTTAAGGACACAATGATTCACACAAACATTTATATGCAAGAATTCCATTGAATTATTACCTGTAATAGGACAAAAATTGCAAATAATTTAAATGGTCAATAATTACATTATAATGATTCTGTTATGCCTGCATTCAATAATGCTTTCAAAGAAGTTTTAGAGAGGAAAAGTTCATGATAAATGAAAAATATTAGTAAAAAATGCTAACCTTGCAAAATATTATACATTATGTTATTGTTATACACTCACTATATAAATACAGCTATAAAACTAAGGAATGATTCCAAAATGTTCACAGTAGTTAATACTGAGGGACAAGACCCATCTTCCACTTCCTAAATTGTCTTCAGTTACCTTGTAGTGCTTGAGTACGATTCCCAGACCTCCCCTCCCAGCCTGAGACAAAGCCAAGCCTGTTAAGAGGTGCTGCAGTTGAAAAGAAACTCATATGGAATAGTAGCTCAGTTTTATTTGCTGCAGAGACAAACACTGAAGCGCTAAACAAAACGAGTGACCTGCAAGTGCCCAAGGGCCACTGCAGGCAGATTAGGGCCCCATAGGAAAGTGGCACCTACTGCAGGAATCCCTGCTGTGGGAAGGGTCCACTGCCTAGGACCGGATACAAGGTTGGGTCTCAGCCCCCTTTTCCCAGCCCAGGTTTAGCGGGAAAGAGGGGGCCCAAAGCGCTGCATGGTTCGCATCACCAGGGAAAGCTGGTCAAGAAAGTTGATGATGGAAACTCGGAGGAGGTGAGCATCTTCAGCTCTCCAGCAGCTAAAAGTGAGGGCGGGGGGAGAAAATCAAATTAGAGGTGGTAATCCCTCTCTTCCTTGCTCTGCCCCTGGGCATTAGACTGAATCCTTTGCTGTCTCAACACCCGCTTAGACCACACCAACTCCCTCCCCCAGACCTAACTCTTGAGTGTATCTTCCTCTCCAATAACGCGCCCCTCGGGGGAGTCTGGCCCTGCCACCTGCTGCCCCTTCTCCTTCTAGAGCTTACACGGCTAGGACGCTGCCGCTCACTGTGAGGTCCTTCCGAATTGCCTCTCGGTGGGGTTCCGCATCGGGGTCCAGGGATCCACGGGCAATGTCTGCCTCCAAGGGGGACGGAAAAGGCACACTGAGGGCGCTGGTGGAGATTCGGTTAAGGCATCATCCACACCGACTTTGGTTTCAGGTCCCCCCTCAGGCCCACCTTGACTAGTCTCACACACCTCCCCAAGGACTACTTCCATCAACCCCCTGCAGAGCAGCCCTAGCCCTAATTCCCACCGGCCACCTCGTTATCCCCCACTCCCTGCACGCTCTTATTTCCTCTTCCCCTCCAGACTGCCCCTGGCCCGTACACACACAAGCTGCGCCTGGTTCCCTCTGCTCCCCTTTCGGCCTCAACATTTCCGTCCTTCGGCACCCAAAGCAACCCTCCAGGAGGCAGCCCCCAGAGTATTCCTCGCTGTCTCCTCGGGTAGGTTACAAAGTATGTAGTCGATTTTCTGGCCTTCTGACCGTGACTGCTGCCTCTCCGCCCCACCCTGAGGCATTCTGTGCTCGGGCAACACGCGGAGCTCCGCCGGCAACAGCGGCTGCCGCGCCTGCACCCCGCAGGGTGGCGTAGCCATCCTGGCTGTCCAGGCCTTCGGCTCCAGCAGTGCCTGCGTCTGCTGCCTGCATGGCCGCCGTGCTCCGCCTTCGACCCCGCCCCCGGGGCGCGAATTTAACCATCTGCGCTCTCCGCCCCTTCACGCTGACTCTACCCTACAGGCCTGCGCAGCAAGGCCCTAGTGAGGAGTGTGGTCAGTTCCCACCAAACCGACCACGCTCTGGGCTCTCATGGAGTCCTTTGGCCGTGAAAAAACTGAGGTTCCCTGAAGAAGCCCCTTCTTTTCGGGCAAGACTGGACCCCAGGGCGCCTGCCCAAACAGGTCCCTAGGGAGGCTGCCAAGGAGACCCAACAGTGACAAGGCTATGGGAAACCAGTTGTGTGGTCAGTTCCCACCAGCCTGGTCCTGCAACCGGCGGGTCTGGGAGACCCCAAGGGGCACTACCTCACGAAACTCCGCCCCTTAGCGCGCAGTTTAACTGGGGATCCCCAGAGCTCGCGCGCAGAATCCTCGCCGCCTCGCAATTCCAATTCGGTAGGGCGGGAGATTGGTTCCCGCCCAGCCAGCCCTGCCACAGCCTGCAGACACCTTGTTGGCTGTCTAGCTCACGACGCTCCGCCCTTTAGAGCGACCTGTGACCTCAGTGCCGCTGTGCAACAAACCCGTTCCCCTTTGCCCCCCACCTCGGGTGAGGCTATCAGACAGGTGGGCTAGTCTCCCTCCCTGTCCCTTCCCTGGGCTCAGTGTCCCCAAGCAATGTGGCTGAAGGTCCTTGCAGTGATTCGTGGGGGGAGGTGGGGTCGGATAGTCCTCAAGCGGTACCACTCTGCACCCTGACCTCATCGCCGATGTAGATGCAGAAATCAAAGGGGATTTTAAAGGGGGCGACGAGCCAGTCATATTTGCCTTTTAGAAAGACCACTGGGTGGGCAGTGTGAAGATGAAGCCTGCCAGCAGGGAAACCCCGGCAAGGAAGGAAATGACAGGGACGTGAGATAAAGTAGTGGCAATGGGAGTACAGCTAATTTCACATGTGAAAAATCAAAATACAAAACTAAAATCACAAAAATCCCAACTTAGTAACTTACTATATACACCCTAGAACAATACACCAAAAAGTAAATACTTGTTATCTCTGTGTGATGGCACTGTGGGTGATAACTTCCTTTTTCTGTTTTTCTGAACATTTTTGACAGTGACCTTATATGACATTTTAAATAAAAAATACGTGTTTTTGTTTTTTACTTTTACTGATTCTAGAGGGGAAAGAAGGGAGAAAGAGAGGGAGAGAAACATTGATCAGCAAGCACCCGACAGGGGGCCAAACCCGCAACACGGGCATGTGCCCCGACCAGAAATTGCACCCAAGACCTTTAACTTTGTGCTCCAGCTGAGCCACACCGGCCAGGACTCAAAAATAAATTTTTAAAGTGACGTGAAATTTCTGACGGTGGTTATCATGTTAGTTTTCCATTTTCCTCATTGTAATCATAAGGAAGGATACAGAGCTGAACTGTATAATTAAATCCTGTTGGATCTCCCCTTAAAACAGACCCTAATCAGCCCATTTCTCTCCCTCTTTGTTGCTAGTCTCTCCCTGAGCTCCTCCCACAGCTTCCTACCTGGTTTCCTTCTACACTTGCTCCTCTAGAGCCTGTTCTTCACACACCAGGATTAAGTCTTAAGTTTTAATATAAATAATTTCATATCACATCTCTGCTTAAAACCTTACAATGATTTCCCATTGCCCTTGGAATCAAATCCGAACTCTTTGCTGTATCTTATAAAAACCCTGGGTGTCCTGGCTTCTAGCTCCTCCACCCTCTACCCCGACCTGTCTGCTTCCTCATTCTCTGCAGCCTCTGGGGCCATTTCTCAGCTCCTGACCAGGGGTGCCCTGGTCCTAGCCCACTGCACTTACTCTTCTATTTGGAAGACTGTCCCCAACCTTCCCCATGGCTGGCTCCTTGTCGTAGGATCTTGAGTCCAATGTCACCTCTGAGAGGAGTTCTGGATCAACACTCTAACATACTACCTCCAAGCACACTTCATCACATTTGCCCATTTTAAATTGCTGCATAGCATCTCTAATAATCTGAAATTAAAATCTTGTTTTGTTCACTCAATATGTTGTTGATATATCATCTCTGGTACCTTTTTCTTGTTCAGTACAGTTTATACAGTATGCCATTTTTTGAACATTGAATGAAACAAAATATTACATATGTACAAAACTCAATCACTGTCTTGGACCCAGCAATCCCCATGCAGGAAATTACTTCACAAATACAAAATAAGATGCATAAAATTATTCATTGTAATATAATTGGTAACATAAAGTTATCAGACACAATGTACATGTCCATCATCAGGGAATTGGTGAACTAATCTATGGTACATTCATACAATAGTTCTAAGCAGCAGTAAAAAAGAGTGAAAATCTTTCCTGGCTGGTGTGGCTCAGTGGATTGAGCAGCAGCCTGCAAACCAAAGGGTTGCCAGTTCAATTTCCAGTCAGGGCACATGCCTGGGTTGTGGGCCAGGTCCCTAGTGGGGGGCATGCTAGAGGCAACCACACAATGATGTTCTCTTCCTCTCTTTCTCTCTCCCTTGCCCTCTCTCTAAAAATAAATAAATAAAATCTTGAAGAAAAAAAGAATGAAAATCTAATAAAAATGAAATAATTTTCAGGATACATTGTTATGTGGAAAAAAAAAGCAGAGTGCAAAGGACATATGCACTCACAGACACACATACTTATTAAAGACACAAAAAGGAGAAACTCAAAACTAATGAAAATGGTCACCTATAGGAGGTTGATAAGAGTGTGGGATTTCTTGGAACAGACTTTTGTGTAGTTTTGACTTTGAACTATTGTAAATATTTTATCTTTTTAAAATATTGTATTTATTTATTTTTTAGACAGAAGGGAAGGGAGGGAGAAAGAGAGGGAAAGAAACATCATTGTGTGGTTGCCTCTTTCATGCCCCCCACTGGGGACCTGGCCCATAACCCAGGCATGTGCCCTGACTGGGGGTTGAACCTATGATCCTTTGGTTTACAGGCCAGTGCTCAATCCACTAAGCCACACCAGCCAGGGCTGAACCATTGTAAATATTTTAAATGTGCAAAAATACATTTGAAGGAGTGAATAAATCTGCCCTGGCTGGTGCAGCTCAGTGGATTGAGCACTGGCCTGGGGACTGAAAGGTTGCCGATTTGGTTCCTGGTCAGGGCGCATGCCTGGGTTGCAGGCCAGGTCCCCCACTGGGGGCCTGCGAGAGGCATCGATTGTTATTTCTCTCTCACATCAACATTTCTCTCTCTCTCTTTCTCCCTCCATTCCCCTGTCTCTAAATATAAATCAATATCATCTTTTTTAAAAAAAGAGTGAAAAAACCAAGTGCTAAAATTGAATAAAAACAAAAGCTAATGAGCCTGACTGCATATACAATTTATAACAAAATCACACAGAGAAAATAATTCAGGTGCCTTTTAAACTCAGCTGTCTGACTATACTCCCTTCCTGAGATATATTCTTTGGATAAAAGGCACTGACTTTGCTCTTAGGATGCATGTTGTCAGCAATGGCAGTGATGAGGGGACTGTAAAGCTATTTTGGGTGTACTTTAAGACAGGCTTTATGTGGTAGAGCCAATGTGTAAATATAGTGATGCTGCCGGGAATGAGACTTCTCGAGGTGGAATAAGGGGAGGTGACACAGAGAACTGTGATGCTGGATTAAAATGGGGGATTGCAGAATAAACTCTAACTCTCTCTCTCTCTCTCTCTCTCTCTCTCTCTCTCCCTCTCTCTCTTTAGAAGCTGTTTATTTTCTGTCAACCTTATTTGCATTCTGTTAACAGTATGTGGGAGAAAAGCTTAAGACCACTCAGTGGTTGTTCCCCCAACTCCATGGCCTGCGCAGTGGGGGCTGCAGACCAGGCTTCAGTGGCAGGCTGAGCGCTCCAGTTTTCAGCAGGAAACTGCTGAGTTGGCACAGAGGGCACCTGCGCCTTCTGACCAGTCAGCGACCTCTGGCTGAGCAGCAGTGAACTCGGGAACCAGAGCAGTCCATTCAACCCTAAATTTCCTCCTTAGTCATAGCTTTTTCAGCAGTGGCCTGCTCTTCCTTCTCAATCTCTTCAGGATCTCTGTAGCAGTAAAGATCAGGTAGGACCTCCCATGAGTGTTCAAGGGAGATGGTGCTGCACGTGCACAGAACTTCCCTGGTCAGTATCCTCCACATCAGACCCACTGAGTGACCCGCCTTGTTGTTGCAGGGATGGCAATGTCCACATAGCCCAGAGGAGAGTGTGTTACACAGAGCGATGGTGGGCAGTTAACATAGGCCGCCTCGGTGAGAGGCTGGTGGCCAGCCCTGGGATTGGTAACCATCAGAAGTCTCGGCTCCCGCATCACGCCTCCTGGACCTGGTTAGTGAAGGTGCCAGGAGTGAAGTAGCAGCAGTGGGAGTGGCTCCAGTGGCAGCAGCAGACTTCAGCACAGCTCACTGGCCAGTGTTCCTGGACGATGTGACACTGACATCAGTGGGGTTCTCAATGGCAGCAAAGGGACGAGCTGCCAGCAGAACGTCTTCCAGGTTCTTTGCAGATTAATGATGTAGATGCCATCACTTTTCCTTTTGTAGATGTCCTGTTCTATTTGGAAGTCAAGGTTGGTGCCATCTAAGTGGGTTCCTGCTGCACGGAATTTGAGGACATCCCTCTCCTTCATCTGTAGGACATCGAGTCCTCTGGACATTGTGAAAGTTGCCCTTTAAGTTACACGGCAACTGAAAACAATGCCGTATGGGCCCCTCTCTGGGTAGCATGGAAAGACTAAACTCTTAAAAAATTATCTTTCAAAGTTCTGTCCAGTGAGAGAGTCTAGAAGCAATGAGACCCAGCAGTAATGTACACAGTCTGCATTCAGACCTTGGTTTCTCAACACCATTCTCCACTGAAAAGAACCAGAGCTTTTGGGAGAAATGCCTGATTCTAGAGTTGGGGCAGGAAAACTAAATACAAGATGAGCCTGTGGAACCTTGTAGTGACAGGAAGGAAGTGTTTGAAAAACGAAAGGACCAGCCATGTCAAAGGAACACTGGAATCAACAGGCAAGAACCCAAGCTAGAACAATGTGAGCATCCAAAAGGATATTAAACCCTTTCAAGAGGAGTATGACTGAAAGGGGCACCAGGGAAGGTACTTTGGTGCTGGCAATATTCTCTATTTTGATCTGGATGGGATAGGTATATGGGTGTATTCACTTTAAAAATCCATCGAGCTGTAAAGAGATGATTTGTGCACATTACTCTATGTACACTATAGTCCAATAAAAATTATCCCCCCAAATGACACTCTTGGATTCTAAATTGTTGGGTAAATAATTTGATAATTGAGAAAAGATAGCAGGGAAAAAGGATAAATGCTAATTGAGAACTGCAGAAAGAAAGAAAACATAGAAAAGCCACCATTTTTGCAGCCACCAATGCAATTCACTCAGGCAAGAGTCATTCTTGGATGGTAAAACCATTAGATTAAGATTGCTGGGGAGCAGGATATTCACAGGGACTCAAGGTTTTACCCTGGATCCATTGTGCATTAGGATGGGAAAATGCAACTTTACAACAGAGAGACCAGGCAGTCCCCACCCTGACCATATGGCTGAGCCTCCCCAACAGTGCAACAGCCTGACCTTGAGTGCCTCCAGATGTTGAGGGTGGCGGGGAGGGGGAAAGAGACAGCATTCCCATGGTAGCGCTCTCATCAAAAACACTTAAGCTGGCCCTGGCTGGTGTGGTTCAGTGGATTGAGTGCTGGCCTGCAAACCAAAGGGTTGCAGGTTCGATTCCCAGTCAGGGCACATGGCTGGGTTGCAGGCCAGGTCCCCAGTAGGGGGCACACGAGAGGCAACCACACAACAGTGTTTCTTTCCCTCTCTTTCTCCCTCCATACCTAGACTCTGGAACATCTACAAGGCAACTGCTCAGGACTATTCCAAAAATATTGTCACCTGATTGCCTATGGAGAAGGGAGAGTTGGGAGGGGCAAAAGTGGCCTCCTGCTTCCTGTCCTTAAAAGCCTGACTGAGTGGTATATTCATTCATCAAGGCAGGCCGATGTGCAGGCCAAGAGGGAAGGGACTGTGTCTTTCAGATCCAGTGTTACCAGCATTTGGGACGTGCTAGGCACTCAGGCTGTGTGTACTAAAGGAGTGAATGAGGTGTCTACAGGACAGCCAAGAGCTGTCTCAGAATCTCACTCTAGAGACATAGCCTGGAGCTCAGGAGAGAAGGCTGGGAGTGGAGGTGGACAAGTTCCCCTGGGAAGTGATACAGAGAGAGAAAGAGAAGGGCTCTGGGGACAGAGCCCTGGAGACCCCTGACATTAAAAGTGGGATGTGTGCGTGAAGGGGAAAAACCGGCAAAAGAGCAAGTGGAGTGAGCAGTGAAATGGAAGAAAAAGCAGGAAAGTGAGGGCAGAAGAGGGCAAGGAATCAGGAACGCTAGAGTCATTTGGTTACCCCAAGAGGGGTATGTGGATAGGGTGGGGAGGGGGTCGAGTCCCCAGGAGCCCAGGGAGGCCACTCCAGCTGGGCCCTGTAGGTGGACAGAGCCGTTGTCTCTCCCGCAGGGTTTCTAGGGCCTGGAGGTCTGAGGCCAACTATGGCCATCACATTTGCTTTGAGAGTGCCTAGCGTGCCTACGCAGTGCCCCTGTTGGACCTATGGGGGCTGGCAAGGCCTGGTTTTGGCCAGGCCTGCATGGGAGGTCTGCAAAGCACCAACAAATTGTGGGCACACTTAATCTGTCACCTGGGCACCTTTAACTCAACAAGCCCACCCTAAAGCAAATGCTGCTCTCCTCTGAGTCTGCCCCTCCTCCCTGGGCCCTTGGGAAATGGTGTCACAAGCATCTCAGTCCAGGTGCCAAACCATTTCTCTCCGAAAAGCCACCACTCATCCTGCCTTCTCCTAGTGTCATCGAGATCACGAGGGCCTTCAAGCTGCACTGTATCCCTGGGGGTAGGTCAAGGACTGTCTGAGGCCCTTTCTCAAGGGGCAGGCGATGGGTCACAGGGCCTCACAGTGGGCAGGAGACAGCTGGCAGCGGGTGGCTGGCCTGGGTGGACACCTGGCTAGGAGGGGCATAGCCCCTGCAGTAAACCTTGACACCCATTGAAGGAGCTTAGGATTTGGGGCCTACAGATGTCCACGGGGCCATCCCCAGACTCTAGAGATGAAGATAGAATGCAGCCTGCGGCTCCTCTCCCTTCATTAGGAGTCCCTATCCTCTCCTGAGGACACTGCGCTTGGACCAGAGCCTCCTGGCCCCTCCCCACCTGGGCCTCCTCCTGCAGCATTTCCTCCCTTTCCTACCCATCCCTGTCCCACCACACACAATCTTCTGAACTGAGGCAGCCCCAGTCACTGTCACCACCTCGTCTCCTCACACTGCACATGCTTTTTGCCCACTCCCAACATCACCAATGGCCTTCTTGCTCCTAATGCAGAGGAGGCTCCGTCCTGCCCTCCCTTTGCCTCTTGGCAGCAGTGGGCAACTTCCCCTTTCTGGAGGGGCATTCTTGGCTTCTGACACTGAGCTCCCCTTGTAGCCTTGCATCCGGGGATGTTCCTGGCCTCTACCACATCTCCAGCTGGTGAAGTTCTTCAAGGTCCAGTCCTCTCCTCTCTTTTCATGCCACACTCTCTGGGAAACCACCTCATCCATCTTCACAGCTTCTAGGATGTCCTTTCCATAGGTAACTCACAACCATCATTTGCAGAGGGCTCTGGAATCAGACTGGGCCTGGGTCCCAGTCAGCTCCTCCTTCACTGAGGCTCCCATCATACACCCTGAAGACTTCACTCCTGTCTCCATGCCCAGCTCAATCTCCCCTGAGTTCCTGACCCCCATCTGCCCAGGAGATAGCTCTTAGCCACCAGATGGCTGTCATCCCCGGGCTGGGAGGCACTGGCACAAGGAACTCAATGACCAAATCTAGGGTCTGTCTGAAATGTGCATCTGTGTCACTCCCCTGCAGTGGAAAGTTGATATTTGGGGCACTACATGCCCTCCCGAGGACCCGGCTTTTGTTGAGAATCTCGCCCCCCCCCCACAGCCTAGGTGTTTCCAGGGGGCTGGCTTCCCACTACCCACCCCAACCCGCCCCTGGACAAAATGATTGGAGGCATGACCCAGTTCTGACCAATAAAAGGACAGCATTTATTTGCTGGGGGCATCTGAGAAAGAAGCTACACTACAGGGCAAGAAGGTGCTCCTTGCTGGCTATAAACGAGGGACTCAGTGGAAGCTGCAGGCAGCCATCTATTGATCCTGAGGCGGCAGCCTGGGATGAAGCAGACACTGCGGAGTGCAGAGGGGAGGTAGGACAAAACTGGGTATTTGGTGAAGTTGTTCATCTGCTGCCAATACCCCTGAATTTCTCAGTTTTGTAAACCAGTAAGTTTCCTTTATTGTTTAAACCGATTTCCATTATGGTTAAACCAACTACTGGAAACCAAAAGCAGCCTAACTAATATAGTTCTTTTTGGATCAAAGTCTCACATTCACCTCAAGTGCTATTTAAAATTTCAACATAAACTTCCTGACTTGAAATAAATGAGAGCATTGGCAAGTCTATCACGTGAGCTGCCAGATCACACAGGCTCCTAGGCGGGCCCTGCTCTTTGATATTTCCTGCTCTCAGGTGGGACCAGGGACCTTCTACTCTTCAAATCCCTCACCCGGCAGGACTCTGTCTGTCTTCCCAGCCTAGGGACACAGCAGAAGGGCCTCAGGCAGGGAGGGTAGTGGGGGCCGGAGCATCCATCCTCCTGTGCACACAGCTTCCTCCCAGCCTCAACTGCCCTGAGCGCCTTCCTCCAAGGAGCAGGTGCCTAAATGAGCTCTAGTGCCCATACACCCGGCAGGGTGGGAGGACCAGTGCCACAAGACCATGCTTCTGTCCCCTCCCTGGCACCCTGAGGCTTCCTATTAGGCAGTGGGGGGGGCATGCAAAATGAAAGCCCTTGTGCACACATGGCAGGGGAAGGGTCTGCTCCCATTCTGTGGATGAGCACATGGTGCAGGGGCCTGGCTCTTGCTGAGTGACCTCCAGCCAGTCACCTGTCATCCCTAAGGAGCAAGAACTGTCCACGTCCAGTGGGAGACAAGCAAAGGGGGTACCCAAGGAAGAGCTGTGACAGGGAGGGCCAGGACACCCCAACTCTAGGACATGCTTAGCCATTGCTTAGCTTCTGGCCTGTTTGTTTATGGGACACAGAAGGGAAGACTGTTGCAGACCACCCCCAGGTATGGGGTAAGGATGAAGGAAACTGAGTGAAGTTTAAGGAGTGGACTTTACTGGGCAGAGTCAATGACTGGGGACCAACACGACACAGGGACTTGCCTGAGGTCGCAATGTAGAGCTGGGCCATGTTCATCCCCGACTCCCCAACCTGCTCTTCCTTCGTCAAGTGTGCACTGGCCGCAGCAGCTGCAGGGGCCCAGGGCTGGCTGTCACTTAGTCCCCCACCAGTGCTGGGCCTGCCAGAGGTCTGGAAAGAAGTCACTTGAGAGTTTATTCTCAGTGGGCTATACACAAAAAGCCACAGCCCACTCCTCAAAATCTTCCAAACAGCCCCTTTTCTTTCTCATCCTGAGGCACTTCTAGAAGCTGGTTGGACTCGGATTCTGACTCCCCCACCTCACTGCAAGGAGCCTCGGCTGTCTCACCTTTTGTTTGAGGTGCAGGAGCAAACTCAGGTCAAGTGCTTTCAGTGGTGCCTGGCACCTAGCAAGAGCTGGGCACACGTTCCTGGGTACCCGACAGCTATTATTATAAGCCAAATTGCAACATGAGAACACATTTAATGCTACATGCAGCTTGCAGCCTGGCTGGGTTCATGCCCACACTCCGTGAATCCTATTTGGAGAAACCCTTCTCCATAGCTTCAGTGACTTCGGGGTGCAGGAAGCGGCTAGCTAAACGTTCGATGTCATCCAGGGTCAGGCGGCTCAGGGACCTCTCATAATCCTAAAGAGAGAAGGCCAGAAGGATTCAGGGGATGCCAATGGGGGTACACCAGGACAGAGGCAGGTGGGAGTCAGCTGGGGCAGGAGTGGACATCTGGGGCTACCCTTCTCACCCTCTGTAGTTGATCCAGGACTCTGTTGGCATCTGCAGCACTGAAGTGGCGTGCCAAGACTTTGGCAATCAGCTGCCAGGCAGGTGGGCATGGGGGTGAGGCCTCGGCCAGTTTCTGGACGGCACTTTCTTCCAGTAACACCTTCTCCAGTGGTTTGACCACTAGGTTGAGCTTGGAATTAGGCCCAATGCTGTAATCGGAGAGTCTTTTCCCATCTGCCCAAAAAGAGACTGATGAAGTTGTTACCCACAGCGGCGGGGGTGACCTCAGGGAGCACTGTGGCATCTGGCTGAGCAGGGTTCAGCCATCGCCCAGACAGTCAAGTGGCCATCACCCCCCATCATACTGCTGCCCTAGCTCGGCCTGGACACCCCGACCCCAACTTTGTGCGGGGCTCCCTGGGCATCTCCTCTTCCCGCGTTACCTGCCAGTGCCTTGCCCTTGAACAGCAGCCGCTGCTGGCGCACCGGGACGTTCAGCTTCTCAGAGACTAGATGTTTCAGCGTGGACACCAGCTCATCCTCCGACACCTGGTCAGGCCGAGGATGGGAGCAGGGGTTGAGCCTGCAGCCCCGGCTGTGGGCAGTTCTCCCGGCTTTCCCGGAGGGGCTGGCCCGCCAGTCCTGTACCCACCCTCACCCCAGCCCTGCGCCTCACAAGGGGAGGGGGACGTGAGCGAGCCGGCTCGCCACGGGGGTCTGGTGACGCTACCTGCAGGCTGCACTCACGGCCCTGGAGCGCCTTCACCGTCAGCTGCATGGCGGCCGCCACGGCGTCCACTTAGGCCGACGCGCACCCTAAAATCCGCACGCCGGCGTACCGCCGCCCCGGGCGCGCGCCGGAACCGCCCGCCACTGCCGGAAGGGGCGAGAGGGGTGCGGCTTTTCCCCGGTCCCGCCTCCGGCCCGCCCGGCCCCTGTCACCCCTGGAGGGGAGTCTCCTTGGGGTTCTGCTTTGTATTCGCACGGAGACCGCCCAGGGTGACAAGTCCACCACTGCGACGGTGTAGGGACGCCCTCCAGGATAGGGAGGAGGACCGAGCTGGGCCAGGTGGGCTTCATTTGAGACCTGGGTTAGGGAGGAGGGAGGGCTGGGAGTCTGCTGGCCCCGCCCCGCCGACGGCCTGGCCCGCCCAGCTTTTCCAGTGGGTGAAGTAGGTCCTTGCGGTCCCCGAGTTTGTCTCTCCAGAGTCCACAAAGGGCCCCACCCTGACAAGCTTGCAGCACTGGCCACAGGCCTTCTGCCTCCTCCTTTCTAGTCTGGCTGTGGAAAGCCAGTTGAACTTGGGAACAGGCAGGGTAGCCAAGCGTCTGCCAGCATCCCCCTACGGTTCATTCTAGAACAGAGGCCCACTTCTCACAGAGGGGATGCATGGGGAAGGAGGGCTAAGAGAGAAAGTCTGTGCAGAGGTCACCGTGTCACCCGAGCCAGTCCTCCACCCTGGCCCACACCTACCCAGTGAACACCCTTCCTACCTCCACGGTCAGGCCCCAAACAGCAAAGATTGGAAGAGACCCAAGTTTGCTTCTCTTTTATTGAAATATATTTTCTGGGCAGTGCCCACATACCCAACTCAGCACGGCCTCTTTGGCACTGAAAGCTGGAGAATAAAAAACCAGTAACAAAAATAAGCCTGGATTTTTCTGAGTGCATAGTGCATGAGAACTAAAGGCCTTTGGTACACAAGAACCGTGGGGACAGTGGGTGTAGGGTGGGGGCGAGGAGTGGCAAATGCTTGACCCAGGGGCTTCAGGGACCTGGGCACAGGCTGCTATAGATGGAGTGGCCAATAACCAAGGCCAGCATCTCTGAGGTGCCGCTCAGTGCCACAAGGAAGGGGGCCTGAGAAGCATAGTCGGCTTGAAGGCGGCGGAGGGACAGCTGCAGCATGGCCAAGGCCAGCAGGCTGTTCTGCACTCCTACCTCAATGCTGACTGTCCGCCGCTGGGCCACTGGCAGCTTCAGGCATGTGGCCAGGCAGTAGCCCACCAGGAGGCCAACCAGGGGCACAGTGAGGCCCACCAGCACAATGGGCAGCCTGACGCCTGCCAGGATGAAGATCCCCATGCGGTAGGCCAGGAAGAGGCCACCCAGGAGCAGCACAAAGCTGAAGGGCTTAATGACCTGCAGCAGCAGCTGAGAGAGCTTGGGGAGCTTGGACTTGATCAACACACCTACTATGATAGGGATGGCGATAAAGAGCAGGCTCCCCAGGATCTTGGAGATGGGCACGTGGAGTGTTTCGTGGATGCTGAGCAGGTGGCTGTAGACAGCTGAGGACAGTGGCAGGAAACCAGTGGCAGCCACTGTGGAGATGAAAGTCATGGAGATGGCCAGGGTGACATCCCCTCCAAGGAGGAGACTGAAGAGGTAGCTCCCTCCGCCACCAGGTGACGAGCAGGTGATGATGAGGCCCAGAGCCAGGGCCTTTGGCAGCATGAAGACCTTGGCCATCAGGAAAGCATAGAAGGGCATGACCAGAAACTGGCCCAGCAGGCCCAACAGCATGGGCTGGGGGCTCTGCAGGAACCCCTTGAGAACCTGGAGCTCCACTTTGCACCCGAATGAACACTTGTTGACAAAGATAAGAGGCAGGAGCAAGTAGAGTATGGGGTTCTCCGAGAAGTGAGTGAGGTCAGCGCCAACGGTGGTGGGGGTGTCTTCGGCAGGTGAGACCTTAATGCAGAAATCTCTTCGCTCCTCAATCAGCATGGGTGGGCCCTCATGGGGGTCCACAAGCTGGATATGCAGTGGGGCTATCCCAGGCAGGCCTGAGTGGATGCTCACCACGAAGCTACCCCCAATGCCCCAGGTTATGGCACTCACATTCTGGATGATCAGCACCTCTGTGTCCAAGGAGGTAACTCTCAGGGTGGGACTGGGCCCTGACCCATTGCTCAGGCCTTGGTACTGGCTCGAGATCACGATGATGCCCTCACTATTCTCTGGGAACTCAAACTCCACCACAGAGCCATCCCCAATGCTCAAGTAGCGGCCCCCTGGCAGTGGCCCAGGATGGCCCAGAGCTGTGCTGAGGTTGGTACTGGCTGTTCCCTGGGGCCCCCACAGCAGGCTGACAAGCAGCAGGGCAGCCCTGAGCTTGCCTAGGGTGCCTGTGCAACCACTGCCCCTTCCTGGTCCACACCACGGCTGGGAGCTGCCCCTTCTAAACACCATGGCTCCTCCTGGAGGATGGTGTGCCCAGGCCCTCTGTGGCTTAGGAGAACAGCCTCACTGGTGCCTTTGGGTTGTCCTGAGAAGGGTCCATGGGAGAGGCCTGGCCCTGTGCTGCTTTCCTTGATGGCAGAGCTCTTCCTGAGGAGAGAAGGAACACAGAGAGGTGGCTGGTGAGGGTGAGTATTGGTGAACTCAGAAACATGAGGCCTTGGAAGTCCACCACTGAGAGACTCAGCAGGGCCTTGAGTGCCATTCGGCTGTCCCATCCCCCAGCACAACTGCCTGAAGCTTGCCATCCCTCACCCAGAGTGGCCACCTACAGATGGGAGTTCCTGGTCAGCCTGTCCATACCTGCTTATTTCCTTGGGCTTGCTCCAGCACCGTGACCCTGAGGAGGTGTCCTGATATGAAGGGATTTGGAAGAGCCACCCTCAATCCTGTCACCACAAGCCTGACCTCCACTGGCTTCAAGACACAGCTATAGAGGGTCTGCAGTGGTGCTACAACTAGAATGAACTCTCTGGAAGTTTGTGCAGGGATGGCAAGGAGACAAGCCTGAGGAGAGAAAGGGTGCCGATGAGAAACACTGGCTCAGGCCATATCCGAGAAGCCATCAGAGATCAGGTTAGGGTGTGTGGGTGTCACTTGTTAGGCAAAAAGCAAGCAGCAAAGTGGTGTGGGCAAGGCGTGACCATCAGCCAAAGACCCCAAGGGCTGATGTCCACAACCAACATGCAGTTGTAAACACTGTTGCTGTGGCCATCTCGCCTACCCCACCTGCTGATAGGGGTGCTGGGGGAGTGCAGGTTCCCCCTCCTCAGGGAAGTTGTTGGAAGAAGCAGCAGGAGGGGGTCAGACAGGGCCACATGTCTGCTGTGGGGGCTTTTCCTCCTGCCAAAGCTTCCACTCCTCTGGCAATCCTAGAGCCACTGCGTCACATCTGAGGGGTGTGCTTGGAGTCCAGAGGCTCTTCCCCATATCCACATGCAATCTGACCAGAGCCTGGAACTCCCAGTGGGACTAAGAGTTTTTCTAGGTGGGGGTGGGGTGCCTCAGCATGAAAGAAAAAGGTCTGCCTCCTTCCATTTCTCTATTTGGGTGGCCACCTCCCTATTGTCACATCACCTGCTGGAACTGGGGCAACCAGAATGGGGATACAGTGGTTTTTCATCACTACTGTTGGTTGCTTCATGCCCTGCAGTGTCCCAGTCCTGGAAGAGGCCCCTGCCTCTCTAGATCCTATTGTCCTTTGGCCCTGATCTCCCTTATCTGAGACTGGGGAGCGTGGGAATTAGAGGGTGGAGGGCAGGTTAAGCAAAAGACTCATCCGTGGGAAAGTCTTCCCCCTACAGACCCAGGAAGCCATAGCTTCTGTTGGTTTGAAGTTTAGGTCACTTACCCTGGAGGTTTTGGTCCAGCCTTGCGTCCCACCGCTGAAGAGGGAGGCAGGAAAACCAGAGGGAGTATATGAGGAGCAAAGTGGAAGGGAATCACAAGGAAAAGATGAAGGCACACGAGACTGAAACCACAGGAGTGGCGAGAATCAGTTCAGAAAGGAGAGGAGGCTAAGGACCATTCACTCTGTCCTTCCAATACGGTGGGCAGATTTGACTCACTGCAAGAGGGTTCTGGCCCAGATCCCACGCCATTTCTGCTTGAAGGGCCGGAAGAATTTGAGCAGATGTACCCCAAGGCAGGGAAGAGAACCCCGGGCTAGCAGCTTTTTTCCACACCGGCCGAGTGTTAGGTGTTAGGGCAGTTGGCAGTGCTGACCCAGGGCTTCTCCCTAGCTGGGAGTCTAGAAGTTGTCGGCTTGGGAACAAGCAGAGCTCAAGCGCAAACCCAGGAGAGAGGGAAGGACGGAAGGAGGGAAACGTCGCTGCCGGGCTCGCGCTGCTACCCCGCAGCTGACAGGCCGGCGACCCGCCCAGGTGGTACCGGGATCGCAGCGAGGGGACCCCTCACGCCAGTCCCAGGTCCTGAAGCAGCGCCAGGCCTCACGAACTCGGGAGCGGCGGTCCTTCCATGTCAGGTCGGCTACCTGGACTCAGCGAGCGAGCGTGGAGCCGGGTCGGGGCCAGAAGTAGCCTTCTGCCCGCCCTTTCTCACCTGCCGCCACAGCCCCGAAGCTCGGCGACAGCGCTAGAGCCCGCCCCGCCGGCGGACGATTGCGAGCTCGGCCCTCTGGGGCCGGGCCCGCCCACCAAGGCCCCGCCTCCGGCCCGCCCCAGGCCCCGCCCCACCTCGCCGCCGTTGTCCCCCGGGGCCTGTTCCCACCGGATGTGACGCATGTGGGAGCGACGGCCTGGCTGCCTTCCGGGTCGCAGTTGGCTGCCGCTAGATGTGGTCTCGTGCGGTGTGCGAGCCCTGTGTGTCATCTGCGGGGCGACCCTTTCCGGTTAGGCTCCCCAGTCATTCCCAAACATGCTGCGACCTTTGGGGGCGATGAGACAGAGGTTTTGCTGTTAGCGGAGCTGAAACCCGGAGATTCCCGGGACCAGGATTTCGGCCATGTTCCCTCTCTGGGCGCCCACCCTGTAGTCTGAGGTCCGAATCCGACCAACCTGGACACCGGGTCCCAGGCTCGACCTAGTTTCACCTTCCTTCGTTCAAGCATTGACTGAGCATCTGTTTACACATTGGAACATCAGTGGACCTGTCCACCTCCCAACACTATTTGGCGTCACCAGCAAGGTCCAGAGGATTCACAGCAAAGAAACCCAAATAGATATGGCATAAGGATGGGCGGAAAGGTGGTGAGGGTGTAGAAAGGACTTGGGAGACAGTAAACAAGTGCAGCGTCAAAGGCGAAGTGCTTGTTCCCAAAGGCTTCAGAGCAATTACTTTCAGTCTGCCAGTGGGTCACTGGCAACCCACTGCTTGGAAAGAACCTCTTGTCACAGCTGTGATGGAGGCCATGGTCGCTAAAGTTGCAGGTACTTGCACCACGAGGTGCACATTGTTCAGAATATCTAAACGAGATCATCTGTAGGTTTATTAAAATTACTTAAATACATGCATAGGATGTGTGTGTAGAAATACACATGGTGGGGTCACAAGCTCAAGAGGGTTTGATTTATGTGGGTGATGTAAACACTCAAGGCCATAGTTCTAGCCTCAGAGGGCCAGTAACGCGTAAGCCATCTGTGTGTGGATGTGGTGCCCCGGAACGTTTGCAACTGCCCCTCTCAAGTGCAGTCCTGAAGGAAGCAGGTTAGCACACGTGAGAGGACTGGAATTGGCACATGCTGCGTTGAAGACTGCGGTTTGCAGAAGAGAGATAGGGGTGGGGCTGTCTGAGGACAGCACAAAGCTGGCCAGCGGGATAAGGAGAATGGGTGGATGATCAGGGAAAGGAAAACCTGAAAGATGTGTCCTTCTTGAAGGAAAACCGCGTTTTTATATTCCAACTGAATGGGAACTGTTGCCAGGGTCAAGGAGAGCAAATGCAGTCAGCAGGCAGCACCCCAATATCATCAACCTTCCCTGAAAAGCCAGAGTGGGCTGCTGGGGTGTCTGACGTGAGGGGATTTGGAGGCTTTCCCTGAAGGAAAAAGGGATGGCTAAATTAAAGGCAAGAGAATGTTCGTATTTAAGGAATTGATTTACCCCAGCAGAGGAGGAAGGGCTCTACAAATCAGTTAAAGGTATTTAGTTTCAAAAGAGAAGTCATCTGGACTGAGGGAACAGATAGAACAAATTATAGTGACAGCCAAAACAACACAAATGCACTTCAGATGGGAGACCTGCCACCATATCATTAATAGGGTCACCATTGTGACCCTACTGTGAGAGGAATGCCTACCTCTCCAGGCAGGGGCCTCCAGGAAAACCATGTGATAAATAAGCATGCATGGAAGTCATATTCTATACAAGCACAACGATGGGATATATTTGATATTTACAGGTAAGTGTAGTGCCTACCCAGCATCAGGTTGCAGCACCTCAATTTCCTTCGGGGGAACCATCTCTCCTCCACTCCCAGTAGGGAAGGTTTGCATGTGGATGACCCCCATGCTGGCCTTTGGAGTAGGCACATGCCGAGGTACTGCCAATCAGAGCCACGCGGACTGGTGCAAAGATAAACCCATACTCTAGTCTGAACCTATGAGAGTTAGTCCTCAGGGACAAGTACTGGAACTACTGGGAAAGCCAAAAGGTCTTTTTTGGCTGGGGCTGCCTCCCTTACCTGGAGGAAACAGCATGTTTGAGAAGGAATCAAATACAAAGAAAAGCAGAGCGAAGAGATGGAGAGAGCCTTTGTCCTGATGACATTATTAGTGCTAGAATCACCCGTGGGCTTTGTGGTCCAGTACAGGAACAATAAGTCTACCTCCCATCATTACTTATTTTTGCTTATGCCAGTTTGACTTGGAATTCTGGTACTTGTAACTGAGAAAGTTCTAACTCCTAAAGGGTAGGGCCGAGGGGGCAGCGGGTGGCACCCTGGCTGAAAAAGACTGTAGGATAAAGCTGGACCTCTACTTTGGAAAGTCGGGCAGGCTTGCTCCACACCACCATCGGCTTCTAGCCTGTGAGAGGCCAAGTGGGGGATAAATCTGGCTTGCTCTTTCTACCTATGTGACCGTGGCAACTCCCAGTGAGGGCATAGCCCCCTGAGTAGTTAGCAGCTGTCACTGGGGCACAAGCTGCATTTAACAGTGCCTGGTCTTGGAAAGGCATTTGGTGACTGGGGAAGGTTGGGCAGTCACAGCAGTTGTTTGAGAGGTACGGAGGGGTCTACACAGCTCCCAGCCTTGCAGTATGGACCTGCAGTAAGGCTCCATTCCATTTGATCCCTGTGGTAGCCCCCAATTGGTACACTGGGGTTCATCTATACTATTCTCACTACTTTGGGGACCCTTTGAAAATTTCCAGAATACAAGGTTTACAAAATGAATACATGTATGATACTCCAATGGTAGATATATATATCACTATGTACATTTGTCAAACCCACAGACTACCACACAGGAGGGAACCACAATGTCAACTTTGAGCCTTGGGTGATGATGAGGTGTTAGTGGGTATGTACGTGAGAACGAACTCTCTGTACTTTCTGCTCTACTTTGCTGTGAACCTAAAACTCTCGAAAAAAAGAAAGCCTACTGAAACATAAATACACGTAAACTGCTTGGCACAGGGGCAGGCTGGGTGTCAGCTTCCACGATCACCATCTCCTGGGCAAGCTGGACCTTCCTCGGGTCTCCACTTCCCTGACCCTTCCCAGTCCTGGCATCACAACCAAAGCTTCTCCTTCCTGTGCTGTCCCAGGGCCTCTCACTCCTCTTCTGCCTGTGTCTTACATCTTTCGTTTCTTGACACTTTGCCTGCACTCCGGCAGCATTTAAGTCCCAGAAGGCAGAGGCTCAGGAAGCCCACCTCCAGAACAGTCCATTGTCCCCGCCATGGCCCCCTTGAAGCTGTCCAGCCAGTGCCCCAATTCCTCCCATCTAGGGAGTCCAAAATGCCTTCTCTTTTTCTGGCCCCAGACCACTTCTGCACCCCCGGATGTGGCATTCCAGCAAAATCTCTGATAGTTTCTGCTGGTTCTCACTCAGTGAAGGGAAAGAACAAATCTGTGAGAAATGACAGCAGGCCACATGACCCTGCCCTTCGCAGCCCTGGTTTCATAGGCATCCAAAGATGAGTACTTTGGAAAGACACACTAGCTCTCAGGGAGGCGGGGTGTGCTGGGGAGGCACCTGGACTGGTTTTAATCCCCATCTGGGTCCCGACAGGCTGTGCTGTTGGAGGGAGTACGTGGGTTTCCTACAGCCCCAGGAGGGCGGAACTGCCTCCCCCAGGCAAGGATATGGGGCTGCAGGTTGGGGAGCTGCTCTGCTCACCACCTGAGTCACAGCTCAGCCACTGCAGGACCTGTCTGTGGTGTGGTGGGAGTCTTGGAGACAAAGGCTATGTGCTAAGGCTGTGGGGGTAGGTTGGCTGAGCCTCTGGGACATGTCCCTCCCCCCAAGGACAATATCACTCCGGACTCCGCGCTGAATGTATTTCATTCCACTGGGGGGCACCAATTTATTAAGAGGTCGTCTAGAAGGCAGGCCCTCCGACAAACTGCAGGAGCTGCCACGCATTGCAGTAGGGACCACGACCAGGCTAACTACCTTGCCGCCCCACCAACCAAGCTCTAAGGTGGCCCCTTCCTGCAGAGAATGGGGCAGGAGGCAGCCAGGTCCCTTGCCACGGCCGCCAGGTGTGGCTCACCAGAAGGGATCACACTAGAAACAGGGCTAGCCTGCAGAGCAGTGAGTGGCTCTGGGGCAGAGAGGTTCTGGGCGATGCCCAACCAGCCCTGAGGGGGCAGGCACCCAGGGCTTTGTGCCTAGGGGTGCTTGGGAATTGGGTGGGAGCTGAGTAGGGAAAGCAGCTTTAGGAAAGGAAGGATATGGGTACCTGGGCTCCCCTGACAAATCACGATGAGGCTGGTTACTACAGTCCCCGCTACCAGTCACACACTGGTCACCGCCTTGGAGCCCAGAGGTGCTGATGCAAGAAAACACTCCTGGCCAGGTGTGGGGCAGGGACTCAGTCCTTCGCTTGGCACTGTTGCTGCCTCCTCCTGGGCCAGGCACGCGCAGCCTCCCTCAGCCTGGTGCTTGGGCTCAGCTGGCTAGCTGGCTGTGTTTCTCCTAGGAATGCAGCCTTCCATCTCCAGTGCCTCAGGCCAGCCCTCGTACTTATTGGTGTGCCTACTGTTCTTCACGTGCTGCGGGGGCAGGGGACAGGAAGGCACAGCCTCAGCCTCAGGCACAGGAGACAGACAGAGCCGTCAGTCCCCTTGTGGTGGTGTCAACCAACCGTGCATTCTCGGGGCACTAACCCCCTGTCTGTCCCAGCACCTTGATTTTCTCATCTAAAAATAGCAACAGCTGCACTGGCCTGCCCCGCTCACAGGTGGAGTGAGGGCGGTCAACTTCTCTGCACTTCTCTGGGCCGGGCACACACGGGGAAGGCACGGAGGGAGTCCATTTGCCTCTACCTTCACCCAGCCCACACGGAGATGCTGGAAGCTACAAGAGCAAGGGCAGAGGTGGCATGTCTTCTCTGGGGGCTAAGCTGCTCTTTTGGAAGCCAGAACTTTCCAGACACCACTGAAACAGCCTGTTGTTCTTGTCCTGCTGTGGGGAGCAGGTCTTGGGGACAACATGGCTTTCACAGAGCTCAGAGCCTCCCAAAGATGAGGATGGCACCTGGGGCTTACCAGCCCCTCACATGGGGCCTGACACATGTGGCCCCCAGAGGAACAGCTGGCCAGATGGCAGCCAGGGCTGCTGGGGGAAGGGCATGCAGTATGAATGGGGGTCTTAGGTTTGGGGAGGATGGACAGGACCAAGCATCTTGAAGAGGTAGAGATTTGGGAGGAAAGTTTCTTAGTTGTGAGTCTTGCCAACGTGAAAGCTTTGCCATTTAAAGCCCCTTTAGGGTGAAACCCATATAGGACAGGGAACGTCCATGTTGCCCTCCCTGGGCCGACTGGGAGGGGGCTAAGGCTGCCTCGGGTGCGGACGCTGGGGCAGAATTCAGGGAAGGCTGCAGCATGAACAGAAGGGGACTTCACAGGAAGCAGGCAGAAGGGCCAGGCCAACTGCCCTGAGCTGAGAAGTGGAGGTGCCAGGCTTTCCACCCATACCTGTTCAAAGGGGCTCTTGTTCTGCACACCCTTGGCCCCCACAAACACCCAGCTGTCCCGAAAGGCCAGGTCCCTGATGTTCTTGCTGCCCAGATCGCTGAAAAGCTTCCTGGTCTCTTCATTCATCCTGCCACACAGAAGGAAGAGATGTGAGCTGTCACCATAGGAGGGCGAGGCTGAGGCCGGCCCAGGCAATCACTTACTTGGTGGCTGGGTCATCATAGGATGCCACGAACACCAGAGTGCCTTCATGCAGTGGCCGAATAAACTTCAGTAGCTCATTGACATCTGGGAGCACAGGTTCCATTGAACATGAAACAGCAGGCATCACTGAGCATCCCTTCCCCACCATCCCCTGTTCTCCAACAAGGACACTTAAAGCAGGGATCAGGCCAGGGACACACCCCATTAAGGGTCACCAAGTGGGTGCAGGGACAAACTGGCCAGGGAACTCCCCATGATGACATACCTATCCATCCCCCTGCCTTTTCTGAGCCCAAGGAAGTACTTGAGAAGCCCCCAGCAAATGGACAGAGAAAGAGCAGTGTTTCAGGGGAAGGACACCTGGTCATTCTGCTGCACAGTCAAAAAGTGGGAGGCCATGGCAGCCACTCACCTCCTGCCCACATGTCGAAGGCCCGGGCCTCGATGAGCTCACCACTGACCCCTGGGTCAAGAGGGAGGACAGGGATCTTGCAGGGCAAGCTACCAGGGCAATTCCACCCTACCACCTCAGTCTTCCCAGGCCAGGCTCACGGCACAGTCATGGCCACTGGGTGCAGCCCTTCTGGAAGCTTTCAAATATCCCCCCATATTCATGCCAACTATGTTCCTTATTCAGACAGCTGCGGCCCACCCAAGGCTGCAGAGCTTCTGCCTGGCATTTGAGACCCTCCAGGAGCTCCCTACAAAGCACCCTTCAACTTCCTGGGAACTTCTAATTCTGTATTGCTCCCAAGCTTTCATTCACTGAGTCACTTCTGTAGAGACTTCAGCTAGCATGGACCCCTGCTGCCCCCTCCCTGGGAATTCTGCAGGGGAAGGCAAGGGAGGGGAAGGTCACAGCATGGTTCCACTGTCCTGAACCAAACTGTGACCCCACATCACAGGGAACTCACCATTCACCAGGGCAATGTTCAGTCCACGGCCCACGTTGTCCTTGACACTGCTCATGAGCCTGGTAAGGAGACAGCTCTCAAGTGGCACGTCTGCTCCACTCATCTGCCCTTGCAGACCCAGCTTCTAATCACCCATTCCCTCCCCCACCCCACCCGTACTCCCCAAGGAGCTCACATCTTGTCCTCGAGGCAGATCTTGGGTCCGATGACATTGGCAGCCCCGCTGACCATGCGGAAGGCCAGGTGCTCTTCAGGGCATGGCTGGGGCAGGCCGCACTTATACTTCCTGGCCCGAGGCTCTGGGTGGGGACAGCAGGGATGACCATGGGCCTGGCCCTGTGGTCACTTGAGGTCTGAGAGGGCGAGGTCAGGACCAGCCCACAGGGAGGAATGAGTGATCACAGAGCAGGGGACCAGTGCCTCGAGGGGAAATTGCTTAGGCCAAGGACACTTCTTTTGACACTTGTGTATCCGCTGGGGCTGGCCTCAGGGCAAGGTGACAAGGGCCCCAGGGAAGCTTTTCTGCCACTGGTCAGAGAAGAGAAAAGAGCAGCCTGGAGGGCAGGTGAACGGGTGAGAGCTTGGCCAGAACAGACTGCAGGAAAGCGGTAACAAAGGGAGCACCCAGTTCCCTGGGGGTGGAGGTGAAAGGACAGGAGGAAGACAGCCTCTGTCACAGGTTGTATTGTGTCCCCACAAAAGATTTGTTGATGTTCTAACTCCCAGTATCTCATAATGTTACCCTATTTGGGAACAGGGTCACTGAAGATATAACTCATTAAGATGAGATCATCTTAGAGCAGGACCTGGCCCTCAGTCCAATGACAAGAACCCTTATAAGAGACAGAAGAGATGGCTCTGGCTGGTGTGGCTCTGTGGATTGAGCATGGGCTGCGAACCAAAGGGTTGCCAGTTGGATTCCCAGTCAGGGTACATGCCTGGGTTGTGGGCCAGGTCTCTGGTTGGGGGGGCCACATGAGAGGCAACCACACATTGATGTTTCTCTCCTTTCCTTTCTTCCTCCCTTATTCTCTCTCTAAATAAATACATAAAATCTTAAAAAAGTAATAAAAAGAAGAGACAGAAGAGAAGATACAGACATGAAGGCCATATGAAGATGGAGGCAGAAGCTGGAATGATATGAGCATGAACCCAAGGAACATTTGGGGCCACCAGAAACTGGGAGAGGCAGGAAGGATCCTCCCCTAGAGTCCTTGGAGGGTATGGCCACCCCAGGAAACTGATACAGATTTTGACCCCAGGAAGTGGAGTGCTACTGTAACAAACCCCTGGAAATGTGGACATGGCCTTGGAACTGGGTAATGTGTAGAAGCTGTAGAATTTTGAGGTGCATGTTGGAAAAGGCCTAGATTACTCTGAAGAGACTATTAGTAGAAATATAGACATTAAAGGGGATGGTGGTGAGGGCTCAGAAAGACAAGAACAATAGAGAAAACTTCTGTCATCTTGGGGGTACATATGTAATGATGACCAGAATGTTCCCAGAAATGTGAATGCTAAAGGTTGTTCTGGTGAGATCTCAGGAGGAAATGGGCAACATGATATTGGACGCTGGAGGCAAGGCCATCCTTGTCACGGAGTGACAATAAACTTGGCTGAATTGTGTTCCAGTGTGCTGGGGGAAGGCAGAACTTGTAAATGCTGAACTTGGGCATTTCGTTGAGATTTACAAGCCAAGTGTTAAGAGCAGGGCCTGGTTTCCCTGGACCCATCTCATAGTAAAATGTGAAAGGAGAGAGTAAAGTGGGAAAGGGATCATTAAGCATAAAGGAACCAGAACATGAAGATTTGGGAAATTCTCAGCCTATTGAGAAAGCACGCTCCGGAGAGAACAGCAGGGGCATGGCCAGACAACTGTTCTCCAAAGAGCTGAGGTGACTTGTGGATCCACTCAACCATGCCAGCAGAAGCCAGGGATGGAGATGGGGTTACCCCAGAAAGATATGGAGGACCCTACTGTCCATGAAGTCTACAGGAGACCAACACGGTTTTTTGAGAATTTTATAACAGCAGAAACACTGCCGACCTGAACTGAAAGGGACAGAGAAAGGATGGCTCTATGGACAGAGGGTGGCTGCTGAGGCCACAGACAACCCAGGCCCACAGGCTAGGCCCATACCCTCCTTTCCAGATGCCCACCCCCCACTTGGGGGCCCAGAGGACAGAGTATTGGGCTGCAGAAGATCCTTCAGAGCCCTTGAAACTTAATGGCACTTTCCCTGCTGGGTTTTGGACTTGCTTGAGACTGGTGGCCCCTTTATTCCTTCCAAAATTTCCCTTTTGGAGTGGGAATGCCTATCTTAGGCCTTTCCTACCAGAGTATTCTAGAAGCAAGTAACATGTTTTCTAGGTTCACACATGCAAGCAGCTGCAGGAGGCTGTGTGGTCCAGTTGGAGGAGAGATAAATGGAGGATTGAAACCCTGCAGAACTAGGGACAGGCAGGGGTACCCCATAAACAGTATGAGGAGGAGCAGGGAGGTGACAGGAGTCTTACCTGCAGTCACTGAGTTCTCTGGGCCTGTGGGTACAGAGAGTTGTTTCTGTTAGTGTGGAGGCCCCGTGGGGCCTGCGGCAGGGCAGCCTGGCCCTGTACCATGCAGTCAAGGCAGTGGGGCAGCAGACTCCGAGGCCAAGGGCTAAGCCAGGTGGATCGTGCCATGTTCCTGCTCAAGTCTACATGATGTTCCTAAGCAAAGCTCCCTGATCCAGGAAAAGGGTAAATTGGAATTGGAAAGAGTACAAAGGTGACTCATCACCAGGGACAAGGTGTAGAGTCCCCTCCCCATCTTAAAGCTCGGTGGAAAGCCTGCAGGGAGCAACCAGGGTGTCAAGCCCAATGTTCAGCAGAAGTCCCCCTGCCTCTCACTTAGGTCCCACCCAATGCAAATGGGCTCAGAATTCTAATCAGCAGAGATTGGCTTCCCAGCCAAAGCATCTTCCCAGCTGCATTGGGTGCCAGGAAACAGACTGAGGGCACCTAGAGGTGGCCTTCAAGGAAGGGAAAGAAAACCCAGGCTCCCCCCACCCCCACCCCGAGCCTCAGCCCACAGACCCAGGTGGCTGCCCTGGGGACCTCGGTGGCGGGGCAAGAAAGGGTCCCACACTCACTGGTGAAGAGCTGCTGGATGCGAGGAAAGCCACTGCCAGGCCCACCCAGGAGGATGCTGACCACGATCCAGGTGAGGCCCACAGTCACAACCAGGACAACGATGCGGAGGGGGCCTGGAGGCAGGACAGACGAGAGAAGGTCACTTCAGATGCCAGCAAGCTCCCAAAAGACCCTAGGGTCTCTTATGACCAGATCTCCCCATATACTTGGGAAGAAGTGATCAGAGGAAATGAATGGGGTGACCTGTTGCCATCCACTAGGCAGGAGCCAGGGACTTGAGCTCCTGACAGGTGGAAGGAGGAAACTGAGTTCCACCTCCAAGGCTCTCGGCTTGGTTCTCCCTGGCACCCACGGAGGGGCCTTTCAGAAGTCACTGCTCAAGGGGGATCCAGCACTCCCTCAGGAGCCTCCTAACTTCCTGCCTCTGAGGCTGCCGATATTTGTGTTCCACCCATTATGTCCCCTTTTCTCCTGTTATGATGGAGGAGGTCCCTACTGCCTTTAAAGAATAGCCCCTTCACCTGCTATTACTTGGACCCTGAGCTCTCCTCCCTGCTCAGGTTTCTTGTAACATCAATCATTCTATCTCAGTCTTTCTCTTCTATTTTCAACACATGACCTTTCCTCATAACAAAGCACAGAATCCCTGACTGGTGTGGCTCAGTGGGTTGGGCATGATCCTGTGACTGGAAAGGTCACTGGTTCGATTCTGTCAGGGCACATGACTGGGTTGTGGGGCAGGTCCCCAGTAAGGGGCACGTGAGAGGCAACCACATACTGATGTTTCTCCCCCTCTCTTTCTCCCTCCCTTCCCCCTCTCCAAAAAATAAATTTAAAAAATATTTTTAAATAATGTTTTTAAAAGAAGCACAGAAGGAAAAGCCCTTCTTCAGAATCACATCCCACTGAACCACTGATCTCTCTTTCTCTCCATCCTTCCTCTTCCCCACCAGCTCCTTCAAAGCATCTACAGTGGCTCTTTCCCATAGAGTGGCCCTTCCACTCTCTCACAACCTACTCCAATCTAGCCTTGCCTCCATAACACCACCAAAACAGTTTGTTGCCACCCTGGCTGGGTGGCTCGGTTGGTTGGAACATTGTCCTGTACACCAAGAGGCTGCAGGTTCGATTCTGAGTCAGGGCACACACGTAGGTTGTGAGTTCGATCCCTGGATGGGGCATGTACAGAAGGCAACCAATAGATATTTCTCTCTCATATGGATGTATTTCTCTCCCTTCCCCTCTCAAAATCAAGAAACATATCCTCAGGTGACGATTTTTTTAAAAAACAGCTTGTTGCCAAGGCACCTATGACCTTCCTGGTGTAAGCTCCCCAGGTCACCTGTCAGCCCTGATCTCCCTCCACCCCTCTCAGTTGACTGCCCAGAACACTCTCTGGACACTGCTCATTCTCCTTGCTTAGATCGTCCTACTCTACCCTCCCCTGAAGAGTTAGACTTTCCCTGGCCTCTGTCCCAGGTCGCCTGCCTTCTCTGCCTATACCCGACTCTCCTTCCCCTACCTTCCTTATAGGTGCTCTCATCTACCCCTGGCTTGAATTACCCCCAAGGAGCAGTGGCTCTCTACTTTCCTGCCCTAGCCTTGAGGCTATGCCCTCCCAGCCCGTTCCTCACTAGCCGGCTCCAGTGGAATACATTCATGATACTGCAACCTTAACAGGTCTCAACTCCAATTCTTGAGTTCTGTTCTCCACCCCCCAACCCCCGAAATCCATCTTTATCTTTGTTGTCCAACTGAGAAACTCACAGCCACTTTGTTCAGTTTCTCCTTTAGGACCAGTCTCTCTCCACCCAGCCCCCATCGTCCAGGGACTCTCTTCCACAACTCATTTTTCAAACAGCATCCAGTTACCTGAGTTGGTAGAAATTCACTATCCTAATCCTCATCTCACAGTTTGGGGAGCTGAAATCCTCGGAAGCGAAAGGATTTGTTCAAGGTCACCGAATGAGTCTTTGTGCATAGTCCGCAGTTTGCCAAAGGAAACCTAGTGGTCACCTGGGCTTCCACAGGGTCCCCTTTCCAACTTCCTCCTGTTTACTGTGGAAGCCACCCACCTGCCAACCTCATGTCCACTTCTCCAGCTGAGTTGGGGCCGCCGGCAGGTGAACTGTTTGGGGACCGAGAGCTCTGGAGGCAATAAAGCAGAAGAGCAGGTTTTGGGTGGGGGTCAGGAAGAAGCCAGTGCTGCGGGTACCGGCGCGATGGGTGCACCGACTTGTTCGTCCAGCCACCTGACCGGACTCCTCCGGAACACGGAAAGAAGCACTGTAGGCACAGGAAGGGGCCTCGGGAACCAGTTGGCTCAAGGTTGATTGTGCCCAGGAGAGCCTCTGAGACTGGGTTCTCCTGGACGCGGGGCCCTCCGGTGGGAGGCCCCGAGCTCAGGCTGCCCCTCCCAGCCCAGGGGCCGCCAACGCGGTTGGGCCGGCCGGAGACTTGCCTAGCCGTGGGGAGATGCGCGTTCAGTCGGGCACAGCTCTATCAGGCCGGTAGTCCCACTCTGTTCACCGAATAAAGGACAGAGAACTGTGGTAGCCCGGTCCCACAGGCCCGGCAATGGCGGCCCGGGGCGGGGCCACAGCCCGCAGGCATCACTCCCGCCTTTGGCTGGGGCTTTGCTTCTCTGTTGCCAGGTTTGGGTAGGGGTAGCAGCGGAGGCCCCGCCCCTGGCACTGCGCTGCCCCACGCACAGGCCCGCCTCCACCATTTGCTCGAGCCACCCGGTGAGAGGGGCCCTCTTGAGAGCCCCGCGCCGCCCGGCCTCTGGTTTTCTGTGAGCTCCTCCCCAGAAGTCTCCCACCAGAGACTCCTCTTTGGTGGGAGATTCCAGCTTCCTAGGCTTGGAGTGGCGGGGCCACACTGGTGCCCTGCGGTCGGATTTCTGAAGTCTAGGAAATGGCAGATGGATTTGGGGGCGTAATTAGTTATTATTTTTCCCTAGGATTTTATTTATTTTTCAAAACAATTTATTTATTTGTTTTTAGAGAGCGGGAGGGAGGGAGGGAGAGAGAAACATCAATGTGCAAGAGATACATCTATTGGTTGCCTCTCACATGCCCCCTATGGGAATCTGGTCTGCAACTCCCCCCACCCCCATGTGCCCTGACTGGGAATTGAACCGGAGACCTTTCAGTTCCTAGGCAGGCGCTCAATCCACTGAGCCCTACTAGCCAGGGCAGAAATTGTTTTAAAGTTTGTTTTACTATGTGCCTTTTAGAAACACGGAGTTACAGAAGAGTATATAGGGCAACACACCAGAATGCCATGAACCAGAGACAAGGAGGCTGCAAAGTTTCTTTTGAGAAATCAGCTGACGGTGTTATGGGAACTCCCTTGTAGGTAACTCTCTACTTATGTCTGGGTGTGGTTCTCTTTGGATCCATCTTGTTTGGGACTGTCTGTGCTCCCTGGACTTGCATGTCTGTTTCCTTCACCACATCAGAAAAGTGTTCTTTCATTATTTTTTTTCAAATAAGTTTACAATTTTTTGCTATTTTCTCCTTCCAGCACCCCTATGATTCCAATGTTGGTATGTTTGAAGTTGTTCTAGAGGCTCCTTAGGCTATCCTCATTTTTTGGAAAAATTTCTTCTTCTTGCTGTTCTGATTGAATGTTTTTTTCTTCCTTATGTTCCAAATCATTGATTTGAATCTCGGCTTCCTCCACTCCATTGTTGATTCCCTATAAGTTTTTCTTTATTTCACTTAGTGTATCCTTTATTTGTACCTGTTTTTTTTTTATGTTAAAGTACCCAATGAATTACTTGAGCATCCTAATAACCAATGTTTTGAACTCTGCATTTGATAGATTGCTGATCTCCATTTCGTTTAGCTCTTTCTCTGGAGTTTTGGTCTGTTCTTTCACTTGAGCCATGTTTCTTTGTATCCTCATTTTGACAGTCTCCCTGTGTTTGCGTCTATGTATTAGGTAGAGCTGCTTTGATTGTGTCTTGGTAGCATGGCCTAATGTACTAGGTGTCCTGTAGGGTCCAGTGGCACAGCCTCCCCTATCACCCAAGCTGGGTACTCGAGGTGCACCCATCATGTGAGCTGAGTACACCTTCCTCTTGTAGCTGAGCCTTGGTTGCCGTTGGCAGATCAATGGGAGGGACTTACTCAGGCCAGTCAGCTGCAAGGACTGGCTGTGACCACTGACCACCAAACTCTGCCCTCCTTGGAGAAACAGCTGTGTGTGGGCAGGGTGGTGGTAGTCCCATGTGGTCTGTAGCTGTCCACTAGGTGTGCTGGCCCTGGGGTTTCCTGGGTAGTGCAGGCCAAGGTCTGCCCCCACCTGTGTTTTGCCAGAGGCCACCCTGCCTGAGCTATAAAGCAATCTGAGAAGGCTGCTACTTCTGCTGGACTTGGAGATTCCCAGGTGGAGCCAAGCTGTGAGTCTAGTCTGGCTGCTGCTGGTGCTAGGCCTGGGGCTCACTGAGGCCAGCTGTGCTTGTTTGAGAGCATTTAGGAAGTTGTGAAGCATGAGCCAGGACCAGCCATACACATGGAAAAGCGGTTTGGGTGGGCCGGAGTCTCTGGAGATCTCTGAGGCAGGAAAAACAATATTAGCCAGGTTGATGGAATCTCAGATAAGACACCAGTTTGCAGACTATGTGGCTCTGTGGGGGGAGGGTTTAGAAAAGGGACAATGGCCTCTGCTGGCCTAGATGCCAGACACTTCAGTTCCTCCCATTATGCCAGTGGTGCCTTTCAAGCTGCTACCCCAGTGCTGGAGCTCAGAGGGAGTGAGTCTGTGTGCGGGTTCTTTAAGAGGAGCTGCTTGGGGCTCCAGAAGTTTCTTCCACTGACTCAATCCATACTGGTTTTTGCAGTAGAAATTGTGAGGACTTAGCTTCCTGGCACTAGAACCCTGGCCTGGGGCCTGGTGTGGGGCTGGGACTCCTTGCTCCTGAGATATCCCTCCCGAATTTTTGTCCACCACACGTGGGTGTGGGACCAGCCAGTTCTGTGCCTGCACCCAGTCTCGATAGATGTGGTTTCTTTAATTCTGTAGTTGTCAGACTTCCATTCAACTCGATTTCTGATTGTTCTGAGCAGTGGTTGTTCTATATCTTGGTTGTAATTCTGTGAAGAGGCAAGCCATGTCTGCCTATGCCACTTTCTTGACCGAAGACCCTCTGTGGGACTGTTTTTCAATGGGAACATAGAGAGCATTAGACTGTCATGTCACAGGTCCTCATGTCCCTGCCTCGGTATAGGCGACCAGTATGAGGTGGCAGAGAATGTCTTTTCTGGGGCCTCTTGCTTGTGTCCCAGTGTAGCTCCCATAATTATGGTTCCAGTTGACTGTTTTTCCTTGGGACATCATGGCCTTGCCTCCCTCTAGGCACCCAGACCTGAGGTGACAGTTGATACCATCAACTGATCCCTCTTGCCCTTCTCTCAGTGTGGACACCGACTGTTGGGTTGTCCGCCGATGATAATCATGTGGACCTTTGTGCTTCTGCCCCAGTGCAAATACCTCCTGTCTCTTCCCATTAATAGGTACCCAGAGCTGAGGAAAGAGTTGGTGGCCCTCAGTCGGGCCCCCATTTCTTTATTCTGTGTAGGCACCCAGAGCTGAATGGATAGTTGACTGTCCTCACCTAGTCCTTCATGTCTCTGCCTACATGTAATGACCCAGAGCTGAAGTGACCATTGAATCACCTCTACAGCCCTTCATCCCCTCTCCTGTGTAGGCACCAATGTTTGTGACTGTCTCCACGTGGGCCCTCATGTGCAGGCACCCGGTGAGAAGTGATAATTGATGCTTTTATGGGCTCTACCTAGTCCCTCATTCTCCTTTCTGGCATAAATATCAATATCTGGGCTTTCAGTTGATGCTGCCACCTGGGCACTAATGTCTTTGACTTGTGTAGCTACACAGGGCTGAGGTGACATTTAAGTGCCCTTATGTGTGCCCCAGTGTGGCTCCATCACCAAAGTGTTGCTTGTGTGTTGTGTCTTGGGTCCTCGTGCTCTGCCTCAGGGTAGGGACCCATATCTGAGGTAACTAACAGTTAAATACTCTCATCTGTCCATGCCTCTACCTGAGGTTAGACATCAAGACCTGATGTGGGACCCTGGCCAGGTAGCCCAGTTGGTTAGAGTGTCATCCCAATATGCCAAGGTTGTGGGTTCAATCCACGGTCAGGGCACATTCAAGAAGCAACCAATGAATGCATCAGTAAGTGCAACAACAAATAGATTTTTTTTCTTCTCTCTCCCCCTTCTCTAAAATCAATTTAAAAAAATTGGCTGGTGTGGCTCAGTGGATTGAGTGCCAACCTGTAACCAAAGGGTTGTCAGTTTGATTTCCGGTCAGGGCACATGCCTGGGTTGCAGGCCAGGTCCCTGGTTGGGGTCATGCAAGAGGCAACCAGTTGATGTCTCTCTCACACATTGATGTTTGTCTCCTCTTTCTTCCTCCCTTCCCGTCTCTCTAAAAATAAATAAATAAAATCTTTTTTTTTTTTAAAAAAAAGCACTGATGGGAAAGGTGGCTTTCCACTGTGGGCCCTTAAACCTCGCCGTAGTCTAGGCATCCAGAAGTTAAATGTTCGTGCACTGTCAACACCTGCATCCCCTGCTGCGGGAACTCTTGCCTGTCCTCATGTGGCCTTCCTGTTTTGTCCCATTGTACAGATTTGATGGCAGTTGAAAACCTTTATACCTCAGCACCAGTGTTGCCACCCAGAGCTCAGGTGACAGGTGTCTTTCCTCATCTGCGACTTGTTGCACCTGCCTCAGTGTATGTACACTGGGTGACAGATGTCTCTCCTCACCTGGCCTGTCATCTGTGTTTCCCATTATAGGGCCCCAGAGCTGAGGTGTCATTTGACTCAATTCAATGAGGCTCCAAGCTCTGTGTCAGAATGTATTCACCCAGAGATGAGGTGACAAGTGACTGTCTGTCTTCACTGGTCCCTTATACTTGTGCCTCATTGTAGGTACCCAGACTGGAGATTACAGCTGAATTTCTGTACCTGGGACCTCTTCCCCATTGCAGGCTCCTAGAGCTGAGATGAGAGATGACAGTCCTCACCAAGGCTTTCACCTCTTTCTCCTTCATAGGCACCCAGAGGTCAGGTGACAGTTAAGTGTCCTCACCAGGGTCCTCACATCTATGCCTCAGTGTAGCACCCAGATCTGAAGTGTCAGTTGATTGCCCTCATGTGGGCCCTTATGTCTCTGTCACTGTGTAGACATCCAGAGCAGGATCAGATGGAGAGGTTCCTATAGTCCCTCCTTGCTGCTCACACATAGTCATCATATGCTGGGGGCCTGGGAGGAGTTGGGTCCCTCCTCCACATCATGCTCCCGCTGACCCTATCTGGATCCTCCCACACTTTTGAGAGCGTTCCCCTTGGTGATGCCATGCCAGCAGGTTCCCCAGGGAACCTGGAGATCTTGGAGGACTATACCCAGCACACAGCTCTGCTAGGACCCCCCCAAATCTGTAAACATCTGGGCCAGGTCAGGGGAGCTCTGTGAAAGTTCTCTGAGCATGAAGACTCCTGTGGGGTCAGGCAAGAGGACGGTGCCCTCTTGTGGTAAGCAGGGGGAAGGCGTGGCTGTGCCTTCAAGGACTAGCTGTGCACCGTTGGGGTCACTATCTGGGGATCCATTGCTCTTTGTGTCATCGT